CAGCCACATGCTTTGGAGGCCCCGGTGCTGGGCTTTGGAACCACTCGGCCCCAGGCTGCAGCAGCCAGACACACATGGTCCTGGCCCGAGGTGCCGCTTTGAAACTGGCTGAGACACACAGAGCTAACCCTTCAGAACCAGGTGTCATTCTGTCACTTTACTGGCTGAGGGCATAGCTTCTGATCTATTTCTGATCAGGTTCAAGGTCCCCTCTCTGCATATGTTTTAGGGACAGGGAGCAGACAGGATGGGATAAACCCACTCACCCCTCAGTCTTCCCTGATGCTCCCAGAAACTCAACTCTTGGCTGCAAACCTGGTTCTTCCCAGGGCATTTTGACACCCCCAGCCACACAGTTTGAATTTTGAATCCTCGGTTTGAATTTTCCTTAACAGAGAAGAGTGCAGGGTCTGGACAACGACGTGTCCGCCTTCCTGGGTGACCCCTCTAGGTGGTTCCCCTTGCTGTTTGCCTGCTCAGGGGGCAGCAGCGTGACCCGCGGCCTCCTAGAGGAACCACTGGAACTCGGAGGCGAGTTATCACCCAGCGGAGTGAAAAAGAGCAGCGGGAACCAGTGTGTGTGTGTGTGTGAGTGTGAGTGTGAGTGAGTGTGAGTGTGAGTGCGCGTGTGCCCTTTCGGAGCGGAGAGGAAGCCTTTCACAAGACAGTGAAGAGGCCTCCGCTTCCCAGATTTCAATCGGGTCTCTTGGCAGAGGCTGCTACAGTATTTCTGTCCTGGCCAGCGAGTTCGTTTCTCTCTTTGAAACAGCCCCGCAGCCCCGAAAGATGGGGACAGATTCCTCACAGACAGGCCTCCTCCCAGCACAGCTTCAGGGCCTCCCCACCATCACCGCTCTCAGCCTGATTCTGGCGCGGGAAGAATGTGTGGCGCTCCCAGGGATGCTGGCAGCGGCCCCACCGCTTGGCTCCCAAATGAGAACCATCTGGCGGGCGAGGGAAGTCAGGACAGAGCCGGGAGAGGCGGCTTGCTCCGCTTGCTCGCTCGCTCGGTGGCAGCCCCATGCTGGCAGGATTACCAGGCACGGGGCAGGGGACGAGGGAGGGAGACAGCCCCAGAGGAGGGACACCGCGGGAGGTTGCCTTTGAACCTCGGTGCGCCCCTGAACTCACGTTGCTCCCTCCTGTCTTTTGCTTTCATAAATGTTTCTTACAGGGGCTCCTGGGCTTTGTCGGTCTGGTCGGGGAGCCAGGAATCGTGGGAGAAAAGGTAAGTTGTGTTGAAGGGAACTTCTAAACAAACAGAGCTTGTGTTTTGCAATCTTGAAAAGATGAAGGGGCTGGTTGACCTGGGGGGTTCAGACTTCTTTCTCCTGGGCTCTCCTCATTGCCCTGGCATGTGGGCCTTCAAAGAGCCTTTGTCCCTTTTGTGACCGAGGCTCAAATTGGGGAGGTGACTTGCTCAAGGTCACCCAGATAGGAAGTGGCAGAGCTGGCATTTGAACCAGGTTCAGTGTCCAAGGCCACACTTGCCTCGGGCTGGCCCAGGTGGCCAACAGCCTGTGGCTTCCCATCCCCCCCTACCCCCCG